AGAATTATCCAGTAGAGAGAAAAAAAATAATATTGCTGGAGAAAGAAAGGATTTTTTTTGCTCCTTTGAAGGAGCAAAGTTCCTAAGTAACCAGGAAGAGAGGGGTTCAAGTTTACAGGTCAAGACACTGACCTTAGCTAAGACAGTTCAGTTAGCACAGTGTAGTGATTGAGAGGATGAGCTCTTGTTACCCGAAAGCTGGGTTTACTTCTTGGTGAATGTCAAGCCAAAAGATACAGCCAAGACAGAGATCAAGAGAAGGAAGGATTTATTATTTACAGCAAGTAAGAAAAACACCTGGGATTTTTCCCAAAGCAGTATTCCCTTGAACATCAAAATTAGGAAAGTTTTAAGCTAAGGGTAAGTGCATATTCCTGCAAGGGCTTGAACAGAGGAGAATTCAGCATAGAATTGGGACAAAGGTTGACAGAGTCCAAGCTTTGGTTGGTTGATTGAGGGTCAGAAAAGTCCAACATTGTCATTCCATTCTCCACCTGGGTGTGGGCCTTAGTTCCTGCAGAACTTAAAGATAGGTATCAGATTGTTATATATATCTCCTGAGGAGGAACCAGGATTCTACTTTTTCTCCAAACTATTGTTTTTTGACTGCTTTTCCTTTGTTTCTGCATTCCCTCACTTCCTTTAAGATCATTCATTACTGAGATCTGTTCAAGGGAAGCATTGTGTCCAGGCTTAGATCACAAAATGGCATCCAGAGAGAGGAACAATTTGAAACAGATCTTGGTGGCTGAAGTAGTGGAGGAAAATTTTGTTGGAAGTAAAAAGATCAAGATGAAAAGATTAAGTAAATTATCCACATGTTGACTTAAGTTGCCAAGAATGATGACAAAAGTAGTGATAAAAAGAAAGATTTTGAGCCAGATGCTGAAATATTAACAAATACACAGGAGTGACTAGGAGGTCTGTAAATGATCACAATAAGGTGAAGTAGCAAGTCATGTGGTCTGATGACATGTGTTTCAGAGAAACAGCTTGGGCTTTTGAAGGAGAAAGATGGAGAAAGGGTCTGGATGCAGCAACAGACAGAAAGGAAAATATTTACCTTCCTCCAATGTATGTGAAAGAAAAAACAGCTACCACTCCAGGGAAAGTAAGGTTCAATTTGGGAGACGGGGGAGGGTATAGCTCAAGTGGTAGAGCACATGCTTATTAGCATGGATGAGGTCCTGGGTTCAACCCCCACTATCTCCTCTAGGAATAAATAAATAAATAAACTGAATTACCTCCCCTCTCTCATATGTATAATTTTTAAAAATAGTAATGGGTGGGAGAAGTGAAGGAGACATTCAGAGAGGTTGAAGCTATAGAAGATTTTGTAGTTACTTCCCTAGACCTAAGGAAGGCGCTATAAAATTGTGAAGCAGCATGAATCACCTATCACTTGCTTTCTAAGAACTTCAGGTAGGCCTATAGCAGGTAGGTGAAGACATAAAACTGTGGCACGGGACCAAATAGCATCCTTTTCCTACCAGGTCTGTTGGTCAATGAGCATTTACTGAACATACCTTAGCACATCAAAAGCGAATGGCATCCCCCTTGAACAGATGCAAAAAATGAGGCTCAGAAAGGAGAAGCGGCTTTATTGCAGGTTCTGCCTTAGTTAGAGGCCAATTCAGGTCAGGAACCCAGGACTCTATCTTTCCAGTACACCAGGCTGTGTGCTGAGTCCTGAACTGGGTGCTATAATGAAGTCAGAAGGAATATAATCTATGTTCTCCACACACTCCATGTTTTTCGTTACAGTCTAGGTGAGAATACGATGCTCACAAATGAAATAACTTCAGCAAACAACATAACCACAAACGTAACATAAGCTACAAGTCGTGTCCGTCAGTGCCGAAGGGTGGCACTGTAAAGTCACATGTGGTTTTTTTAAGGAATGTTTTCTGGTGATAGTAAATTTGTTTATATGCTTTTATTAACTCCTATAAATAATTCATGAGAATTGAAGAAAAGTTGGAAAACACAGAAATCTGGAAAGAAAAAGCAAACTACTTCTGAGGTCCCATCACGCAAACAGAATCACTAATTGTTAATATTTTGGCATATTTCCATCTAGTCTTTTTTTCTAGACATAGACTTTTAAAAGTAATAAGTGAATATTTGACTTTAATATACAAAATATGCAAATAGTTCAAAATCAAGAGGTTAAAAAAAGGTAGAAAAGAAAAAATCAGTCTTCTCCCCATTGTCCACCACCCTACATAGTTTCCTTGCCATGAGTCCATTTCTCCTCATAGATTTATGCTTTCAAGTTTCTAAACAGTTTACTTACGTGCACACTGCATCTCCATGAGCTCAGCATCACTCATCATGGCAATATCATACTAGGAATATACTGGATTTGGTGAAGTAATCTTTACAACTGGGACTATTTTATCATCATGGAATTATAAGGTTGGAAATGACTTAGAGAGTCATTCATTCAACTTCCTGAAAATTAAATAAACTTTTCTAAGAGTTGACAGGAGAGCCAAGATTATAATCTAGGCTTACTGGTTTTTATGTTAGTGATTCCTTCAATACAACACGTTACTAGACACTCACTCAAAAATACTGCAGGTAAACCTTGTGGTGCTTACCACAACCTTGTTCTTTGTATTTATGGCCTCTGAAGTTTTGAAGATGGTCATAGTTTTGTTTTGTTTTGAATGAGCTTTATTTTCTCTAGAACAAATTATAGATTTACAGAAAATTGAGAAGGTAATACAGAGTTTTCATATTCCATATACCCAGTTTCCCTATTATTAATACCTTACATTAGTATGGTATGTTTGTTACCTTAATGAACCAATACTGCTTCATGATTGTTAACTAAACTCCACACTTTATTCAGATTTCTTGAGCTCTTACCCAGTGTCCTTTTTCCATTATAGGATCTTATCCAAGATATCACATTACATTTAATCGTCATGTCTCCTTAGGCTCTTTTTGGTTGTGATTGTTTCTCAGAATTTCTTTGTTTTTGATGATCTTGATACTTGTGGTTGGGTATTTTGAAAAAAGTCCTTCCATTGGTGTCTGTTTGCTCTTCTTGTGATCATAGGTTTTGTGTTTTTTGGGGGGCGGGGGAGGTATTTAGGTTTGTTTATTTATTTTTAGAGGAGGTACTGGGGATTGAATCCAGGACCTTGTGCGTGCTAAGCATGTGCTCTACCACTTGAGCTATACCCTCCCCACCATAGGTTTATTTTTGATTTAACAAACATTAGGCTTGTCAACATATATTTGTATATTCTTTTCACATGACATATCTATTTCTAATAATTTATGGCATCTTCATAAACATTTTTAATGGCTGAAAATCCCTTCTTTGTTATTTAAAATCTGTATGACCTTGGACACATTTCTGAACTTCTCTGAGCCCTTGGTTTCCCTCTCTGTAAATGGTGCTCACAGGATTGTCATGAAAAAGGCAAGTAGATTGTTGAGCAGAGGCAAGACATAATGAAACTTATATTTAAAGTTTATTCCAAGAGTGCTGTTTAGCCTAGATTGGTGGGGGACATAGGTGGCCAAGGGGCAACTGGGCACCAGTTGTTAGACCTTGGAGAAAAGAAAGGGGGATCGTGCCAGAAGCAGACCCTGCCCTTGCAAGAACTGACTGGACATGGTGGGACGAGCTGGGGCCACAGGAAGGGACAAGGGACAAGTTTCTTCCTTGGGGAAACTTGGTGTTGGTGCCCATAAGAATCGGGGAAGAAGGTGGACTTGTCGGTGAGGGGAAGGCAGGGGCATGGATTTTGATGTATTTAGTTTCAGATGGTGGCTGCCTATCCAAGTGATGATGTCTGGAGAGAATTTGAAATCTATATCTGCAGGGAAGTAAGTCCCAAGCCCTGAGCTCTTCCTGGAACTCCAGCAAGCCAAGCTAGAAGGGGTCCATCTTAACTCTCTGTCACAACTTCTAGCATTTACAGAATGTCTATTAAGGCCAGGTGTTGCACAAGACTGGTGCCTCTTCTTTTCCACCCTCAATCAACCCTGAAGGCAGGGTATTGCTTTTGTTTGTTTGTTTGTTTTCTCAGGGGGAGGTAATTAGGTTTATTTACTTATTTACTCCCAGCCCAGGGTAGGTGTCTTTATCCATACTTTACACATGATAAAACTGAGATTTCTAGAGTTAAGTAACTTGCCCCAGGACATAGGGCAAGTTGGTCACTAAGCAGAAAACAATCCTGTTGGAGTGATGTCAAAGCCCTCCCATTGCTCTTCTGGGGTTAGATCAGAAGGCCTCCAGTCCCTTTGTTTGGCAGATGAGAAACCTGAGGCCTAGAAAGAGGAAGCAACTCAGATAGTTAGAAACTGAGCTAAGGCTGTAAACCAGTTTCTTGCAACTGGCCTGACCTCGAGCAGCACTCAAGGTTAAAGGGCCTGTCATGATAAAGAAAAGCCTGTAGAGAAACCCAAAAAGAGAAATGAAGAACTCAGCATGGCTCACAAAGCCTTGCCTACAGTCCTTCACAACCACCTCTCCTCTCTCCACGCCCTCCACTTTTGCTACCCAGGTTCCCTGCACTTTCTTCCTACACCACGTGATGGTATACCTCACTGGGCCAGGAATGCCCACCTGCCCCCAACACTCCTGGAAAACTCCTGCTCATCAAGCCCCAGCCCAAGCGTCCTGTGCTCTGTGAGGTCTTCCAACTCAAACCTCAGGAGAGGATATTCCCCCAGGACACTGCGCAGGACCCCAGCAAAATGAACGCTTTCAGAGAAGTGATTCCATTGTTATCATCCTTCCTTCCCCAGGGTCCAGCATGAGATTCCACCAAATAAAGGCTCGTGGAAGAGAAGGAAAGGAAGAGGCAGAGGAGGTGTGCAAGATTACAGATGAGGAGTCAGGGAAGCTGACTTTATCCCTGTCTTGTGCACACCCAGCCAGAGTCACTGGTCAGAAGCGGTGGAGGGGAAGCCCGCAGAAGGATGCGTACAAGCATTGGGCAAGTAGGAAAGGCAGTGGTGAAGCAGAACAGGCATCCGATCTCAGTATTTATGTTTGCATGCACATAGATTACACATAAACTGCATATTTACACATGAGAAGTGCTACAGGCAGGTTGAGCATTTCTGGAACAAGGGCTTTGCTGAACACTGAGGTGACAGACACTCAGCTAAGGCCTACGAGGGAGAATGGTAGCAGGGAGGAGTTGAGAGATGGTCTTCTGGGCAGAGACATGGGCAGCCATGTGGTCAGCCCTCTGGGAAGGGGTGGGCCTCCTGAGGACGGGCCAGGGCGGTCAGGCGCTGCTGGACACACTCAGCTGTCAGCCGTGCTTCTGGGTCTGCGTCCCAGCAGTCCTCCAGGAGCTCTCTCAGGCCACCAGGGTCCTGGGAAGAATGACCAGGAGGCAGGCTTGACCCAGGATCCTGAGTGGCCCCCTGAGTGGCCCCAGGGTGAAAGGTATCTGTCCTGGCCCTATTCTCAACACTCCTCTTCTGATCCTTCTTGCAGCCTTCTTCACTGATATCCAGCCCTTTGCACCTTGCTCCATATGAGACAGGTTCTCTCCAAAGAGTCCACCTTTTCCTCTGAGGAGCTAATTCAGGTTAATGGCTTAACATGCAGATGGGAAATTATTCTCTTTCCTCTCAGTCAACCAGAGTCTTCTGCAAACAATGCCTGGGCCTTCTTATCTAGCCCAACAGATTCTTGGGTGGTGGAAATTTCAGATCTGGTAGCAGGGGAAGGGGCTTCCTGTTAGGAAATGAATTTCCTAGGAAACCCTGAAATTTCAGTTAGGCTACTGTTTTAACCCTTTATACCTAGTTCTGGCTTTTATTGGGTCATGGCAGAAACACAGATGAGGAAGTACTGGATTGAATGTTGAGCTCCAGCGTACTAGGAGAGGGGCCATCTTGATGCAGAGCTCAGGGCAGAAGTAAAGCCAAGGAGGGCTTCCTGGAGGAAGGAACTGAGGAACAGGGCAAAATGATGATGGAGAAAAGAAAGACTAGGCAAGACTGAGCAAGAGGAAGGTGCAGCTCAGGAATGGCCTGAGTGAGACCTACTATGGAAGGGGATGACCTGAAGGACAGAACAAGTCGGCCCAGCTCCAGCTGAACATGAGCCAGGAGTGGTGGGAGAGAAGAGGAAGACAGGAGTAGGTGCACTGGTCCTGGCAGACAAGTCCTTGAAGCCCATGCTGAGACCCTCCAGGTCCCCAGCCCACCAGCCTGTAGCCTCTTACTGTGGTGAAGCAGCACCAGGTGGACGGGATGTAGGGGCGCCTTCTCTCCTCCACTGCCAAGGTCCATAGCTCACAGGTGGTGGGGTTGCTACCCAGTTCTGCCTCATAGGCCAGTTGGAAGGGTGGTGGTCTGCTGTCTGAGACAAGGCACATGAGTTCAGGTGTCAGCTAGCCTGAGGATGCTCCCTTGTGGAAAGGCCAGGAGGGAGAAGGGCAGAGCTTCCTGGGTCAGGAGGTAGGTGGGTGAATGGGGCATGGGGGGAGGAAACAAGTCAGGGGGCACTGTTACATCCATCCTTACCAGGTCGCAAATCTGGGCAGCGGCTCAGGATCTCCCATAGGAGCAGAGCCAGAGAGTAAACATCCGCTCGCCTGAGGGCTGTGCCCCAGTCCTGTAGGTCTAGAGTCTTGTCCAAGAGCTCCGGTGCCATGTACCTCTGGGTGCCAGCCTGGAGAGCGAGGCATGGAAGGCCAAGAATCATCTCCTTGGCAACCCTCACCGCAATGCTGGTCCACGTGGCATCCCCCTGACCAGACTCAGCAATGTCCCAAACGGGACAGGTGCTGCCGCACTGTTGCCACATCTTCATCAGCATCCTTACCACCATCCTGGGCCTTACGCTTATCCAGAGTACTGACCTCCATGATGGCAGCTGGGCCTCGGGGTTGAGTAGGGGCCCAGGTTGGGGGCTGAGCGAGGCCAGGGAGCACCAAGGCAAGGCCTAGGTCTCCAATGGCGCACGACCCGTCATCCCGAATGAGCACGTTCTGGCTGCTCAGATCTCTGTGGGCGATACCTGGTTTATACTGGCCTGTGGGAGAAGCCAAGGCTGAAGGGGCATGGATCTTCTTCCTTTTTTCTTTTGACCCAATTCTTCCCCTCCAAGCTAAGGGAAAATCAGAAACAGCAGTGTGGCTCCTGACTCCCATGGCTTCCTGCTCCCAGCTCACCCACCATCCTGCCAGCGTTCCTCATGGAGAAACGCCAGGCCCTGGGCCAGGGACAGTGCCATCCGCAGAGATCTTCCCCAGTCACTGGTATGCTGGGTCAGGTAGTGGCACAGGGAGCCCTGGGGAGAAGCAGAGAGAAGGGAGAACACACAAAGCTTGAGGTGGCTGATCCGCCCACAGGAGCAGAGATCAGTGGACAGACTTCCCCGCATCTCCCAGCGGACTTACACACTGACACATCCAGGCGAAGGCAGCGGGCAGCGGAGGTGGGAGAATGTGCATCAGTCAGAGTGACAGGAAGAACAGCACCTCTAGTTCAAGGGTCCTGAGCACGTACTGTGTGCCAGGCCTCCTGGAACCCTCACTACAACCTGGGAGCTAGGCATTTCTGTCAGTTTTAGATGAGGCGCTTGAGAGAGCCAAGTAAACTTGCTGGAAATCATTTGGCGAGAGAGGAGTAGAGCTTGACCTCGAGCAGTCTGAATCCAGCATCACACTGTTAACCACCTCATACTGCCTCACAGGACTTGGGATAAAGACAGAAACAGCAGAGGCAGGGCGGGCTAGGCAAGGGCACCTCTCGTGAGCCACCTGGCCTGAGGTGTCAGCCTGTAGCAGAGCGAGGCTTGGGGGAGCTGTTGGGTCGGAAAGCAGCCTTCAAGAAGCAAGTGGGAAGTGAAGGGAAAGGAGTAAAGGAGGCCTTCATTCTACAAACATTATTGAGTACCTTCCACGTGCCAGGAAAGTTAAACAAACAAATGAAACCAGAGAAGCAGTGATTTCTGAGCTGGGCAGTGAGGCAAAGAAGGGACTTTCCAGAATTCAAGATTTCAGAGGAACTACAGGTGCTGACAAAGTCCCAAGTCATTAGCAGGCTCTCAAGGTCGGTGTGGTCTGGCCCCGCCTACCTCTTTCTCCTCATCCTTATTGCCTATGGTCCTCCCTTTGAGTCTCAGATCCTTCTTCTTTTCTTTCTTTTTTTAAAAATAATTAGTTAATTAATTTATTGGGGAGAGGTAATTGTTTGTTTATTTGTTTTTTAATGGAGGTACTGGGGATTGAACCCAGGACCTTGTGCATGCTAGGCACACACTCAACCACTGAGCTATACCCTCTCCCCTCTTTCTTTTCTTATAGTGCCTCTCTTTCCACTTAATGCGCTTGACACTTTACATTTCTTTTTGTGTCTGCTTGATCCACTTCTGTCTCCCTCCTACTCTATAAAATCTGAAAAGGCAGGGATTCGGTATGTTTTCCCTAGTACAGGAAGTGTGACATATAGTTCATAGGTATTTGTCGAATGAATAAATGAATGAGTTTGGAGGGCTATGCCTGGAGGTATTTCTTTAACAGTGGTTTTCCTTAAGGTTGGGAATATGAATTGTTTTGATTTCTCCCTTTCTTTGTCTATATATTATGAGTAAAAAAAATTTAGCAAGTATTGCTTGTGTAATAAAAAGAAAAAAACAATAAAAATCATTTTTATTGCTCTAGAAAAGAGGCAGTCTAAAGCAGAAGAATAAGCGTGGACAGGGCCCAGCTACCATCCAGCGCCCCTCCCACATACACACACAGGCAAACACTCACAGATACATTCCTCCCGCCTCACCTTGGGGTGCAGTTCCAGCACCAGCAGGGGCCCACAGGGCAGGGGGCCAGGGCTGCCCCTGCTGGCGGCGATAAAGCGGACAATGTGGTCATGCTGTAGGCCTGGCAGCTCATACAGTGCTCTCTCGGCTTGGAACTGGGCCACAGCCCTCAGGGGGAAGGCCTTGATGGCTACCAGCTTGCCTTGCAGCTGCCCAGCCCACACCACTGCATGACCTCCTTCCCGGATTACCTGGTGGGGACACGGTGCTGGGTGTGGGCCTCAGTTAGTACCGGGACTTCCTCCCCAGCACACCCTCCATGAGTGCCTAGAGACCCCCTCCCTTCCTCCCGGGGCACCTGGGAGAAGCACAGCTCGGGCAGCTCGGACAGCTCGGCACTCCAGTCCCTGCCCGAGTCTGGGTCTGGCTCTGGCTCCGGCTCTGGCCCACCTTGCACTCGGCAGGCATTCCGTTGGAGCAGGGCTGGGGCAGAGAAGAGCCTTAGGGTCAGGGTTCATGGGCATGGAGACTGGGAAGGAGGCTCTGTGGGAGGTAATGGGGGTCGGGGGGCCTGGAGGGGGTCAGAACTTGGGGGCAGTGTCCTAGGGTCACAAGAGTGGGGTGGGGCAGACTAGTACCCAAAATGATGCTGCTCAGCAGCAGCAGGAGGAGAAGAACCAGCCCCAGCAGCACCAGCACCATCCAGATGGACTCCCCTGTGTGTTAAGGCAAGAATGTAGGCTGAATGAGCCTGGCCCCAAATCTGCCCTCTGCTCCTCTCCCTCTCCTCTATCCACCCCCATCCTGGTCACAAGCTCCCTTATCTCCCAGTCACCAGGACAACCAACTTCTCAAGGCCAGTAGGAGGGAAGCTTGGGACGGGAGTAGGGTGGGAATTGGCCCTGGTTCTACCTCTCATCCTAACCTGGGCCCCAGCCCCCACCTGGCTCCAGCACCCTGGTGGCTACCTGGTATGGCCTGGGGACCCTGGGAACCAGGAATCCCAGGGATCCCCGGAGAAGGCAGATGGCTGTAATTGGCATTGCAGAAGTCAGTGCTACAGGAGCAGGTGAAGAGAGTAGAGCTGGGGCTAGGATGGGCTCTGGGGCTTGGGTCACAGTGGGGGGACTCACAGCCTGGCTCATCGCTGTCCCGGCATCCTGATGGGGTGGGATTGGGAGAAGGAGAGAAAAAGGGAGAAAGGGAGGGAGAGAGAGTGCACGAGCAAGCATAATAGGGGTGGGAACACAGAGGGTGTCCCTTCTCTATCAGAGGCATCCTTTCCACCTCTCAAGGGCTCTTCTTTCCCTCCACACATTCCACTTCTCTCCTCAGCTGCCCCCACCCCCTCCATGTGCCTCTCTCCTACCCTGGCTATCACCTGCCACAAGCTGTGCCATTCACCTTGCATCTCCACCTGGGCCTGGTCTTGGTCTTTGGTCAGGTTCCAGATCCCAAAGCAGCAGCGGCTGTAGAGGCAGCGGATAACCCTGGGGGGGCCTGGTCCCGCACCCAGCAGCTTCCCCAGTGTCTTTGCGCTTCCCCGCACTCCAGGGGCCTCAAAGAACACACAGGTCCGCCTGCTTGGGGGCGCTGCAGCCCAGGATGGGGAGAGGGGAGGGTGCAAATGGGAGTGAATGCAGGGGCAAAAATAGCAGCCAAAGGAGAGACAAAACACGTTTTACATCCCAGGGCCAGCATGGTAAAGCCACAGGAGGAAACAGGGTCAGCAGAGACCTGGAACCTGATCTCCATCAGGGGGACACATGGCTCTACCCTTCACCCTCACTCACCCACCCCACTCACCATCTTCCCAAGGGGTCGCGGCTGCTTCAAGTGCCCCCTCCCTTAATGGGTAGGTGGAGAGACCCTGCCCCTCCCCGTAGACACTCACCTTGCACAGCCGCGGGAAGCAGAGCCCAGAGCCCCCAGACACCCCAGCATCATGCTGAAGGAGGCGGCAGTGGGAGGGGGGAGCATGAGCCAGCACAGCTGCCCTGGCCAGAGCTTCCTTCAGATAATACTGGGCACCGCGGGGCTTCTGATCCCTCAGTCCCCAACTCCGCCCCCCTCCCTCTTCCCAGTCTCTGTGGGAGAGACGGCTGCTGTGGGGGAGAGGATGGGTATGAGGGAAAGCAGGGAGAAGGAGGAACAGAGAACGAATCTCATATCCTCCTCTATTCAGCCACCTCCTCTTTTCCCTGTAAAGTGGGAGGGGGGCCTTAGAGGCCCCACTGAGAACCTGGTGATGCCTAACTTCAAACCTCTGCCTTTTACTGACCCTGGGAAAAGTGCTGGGCCCCGTCAGCCCTTCCCAGGCTGGAAACCAAAGTGAGGTCAAGTGCTCAGAGCCATTCAGCTGCGCCCAAGAGTCCTTCTAGCCCTTATTTTCTGGGCTCAGATGTGCACAGTTCCCTGGGCACAGAGAGGCTTCACGGCCCACACTAGAGTTGACCTCATTTCCCAAACTCAAGAGTCAGAAAAGCAGTTGTAAAAAATCACATTGAAAATAGGTGTGATGGTAAATTTTACGGTACCAAAATTTAAAAAACCACATTGAGTCACACACTAAACAAATCACCATTATTGAGAAGGTAACAAACTTTTATTGAGCTAGGGCACAGCTCAGGCTATGAATTTTACAATCATCTCATCTAATTCTCCCACTGAGCTATTATTATCTTCACTTTGTAGGTAAGAAAGCTGAGTTAGGTAACTTGCCCAAAGTCACTCTGATAAGGAAATAGCACAGCTAGGATTTGAACCTAGTAAGTCTGACCCTAAAACTCAGGCTTTGTTCTTTGCATTATGCCATGATGCCTAAAAAAATACAAAATTCAGTAATTAAAAAGTATTTCCATTGAACATAGTATTCCAATATTTGAATATGGATTGAGAAAATGTGAACCATTGCCTGCCAGCAGGCCATTAACTAAAAAAAGAACAGTTCAAACTATCACCACCAGAGGCCAGCAGACATAGGAGAAACTCGAGACAAAGTGACGGGGCAGAAGGGCCTCCTCTGATGACTAATATCCATAGTACATCTCCAATATCTATTAAGCTGCAGGAAAAGCAAAATACGAAGGGAGGGCACAGGGTGTGTAAAGGGAATGTCAGCATGGAGATGGCAGGAGAGGTCTATAGCTTGTGCTGCAATGGAGAGACAGATAGGAGTCCAGCTCCACCAGATTATTGCCAGAATGAGAAACCAGTGATTGGTGATCATTTCCACACCTCTGAGCAGCTAGCTCCTATGAGAATTAGAGTCAAGGAGACAGGTTCCCTGTTTTCCTAGCCTTCTGTTCCCCTGGTGGCTTCCTGAAAACCCTTTCTGGGAATAGGCTGGCTTACATCAGGGATGAGGGTCTGAGTAATCTTTTTTTTTTTAATGGAGATACTGGGGATTGAACCCACGACTTCGTGCATGCTAAGAATGCGCCCTACCACTGAGCTATATATATACCCTTTGATTCTGAAGCCTTTTTCCTGGGGAGCCTGCATGAAAGAAGGAGAAGGTAAAAGCTCCAGTAGTGTGGAGCAGCAGTGAGTGGTATGCCCAGGGCTAGAGGCAGATGGATAACTGTCCATCCTTAGTTGGGCCCTTTTGGGAGTCTGCAGAGCCCTGCAAGTGAGGTGGAATGTTGTACTTAGTTACAGCTGTCTTCCTTCACCAGCTCCCAGATCAGGTAAGTCTGGGACTGGTGGAGGAGTTGAAGGTAAAATAGCTTCTTGTGTCAGGAGTGTCTCAGGAGACTCTCCTCCAAACGAGAGCAAGATAAGGATCAGGTAGGAGGGGAGAGTCTCCTCACCCAAAACCTTGGATAACTACTCTCAAGATAGAAACATTTCAGCCAGGTTTATGGGAAATATACCTGCTCTGGGGCAGTCAAAGTTTAGAGTTGGGATGGTGAGAGAAGGGGTAAGAATTTGACAGCTGGGGGATTAACAAGGTCCTGAGAAAGAATTTCAGCATAGGAAGAAAGGCTTCCTGGATTCCACATGCACAAAGCTCCTCATTAGGATCAATAATTTACCTTTGACCCCACTGATGACAGGGCTACAGTGAGTTGTTTATTCATTTAATTCAGAAAGTATCTGTTAGGTCCCAGTCTTAGAAAGGTATTTCACTATGTGCTGAACCTACAAAAATATGTGATTCCTGCCCTCCAAGAACTCATAGTCTAGAAAGGCAGGAAAATATGTCAATGAGCAACAAGGAAAGTATGTATCAGGCTAGGGGTATGAGCAAGGAGCTATATAAGCAGAAAGATCAAATAAGCTAATTCTGTCCAGAGTGTAGAAGACAAGTGCCCAGAGGCACTTTTCCCTTTTTCACAGAGAAAGCAGTATTTAAATTCAAAGGTAAACACACTAAAAACAAATAGAAGGACGGTGATTATCACAGGCCAAGGGAACAGCAAGAATAAAGGTATAAACACAGAGTGTGTGTGTCGCAGCTGGGGTGGGGGGATGGGGGTAAGCAGAAGAAAAGGGTATGAGATATGAAGCAGAAAATCACCCCAGAGATAGAGTGGAACCAGATTGGAAATGTTAGACTCTTCCTAAAAGCAGAGGATTTTAGGCAGGGGTCTGGTGGCAATGTGGAAGATAGACGCCTGGGGCTCAGGGAGACTGGAAGCAGGGAGATCAGTTACAAGACCTAAGCAGTAGCCAGGGTGAGTACCAGAACAGTGGAAATAAAAATAAAAGAGGGAAAAAACTGAGGTACATTGTATTGGTAATATTGACAGGACTGGTTATCAAATGAATGTTGGTAGATGAAAGGGAGGGTTAAAGGATGATTTTCAGGTTTCAAGTATAAGTGATCGAGGGGTAGTAATTCTGTTTAAGTGAGGTGGGGAACACAAAGGATGGTTTCCCTTTCTTACAGGTTGATTTCGAGTGATCTGTGGGACATCCAGATGAAACTGTCCACTGAGCAGGCTACCAGGTTGAAAGAAAAGTGAGAGGTGTGGATTTGGGAGTCACCAACATACATGTAATAGCTAAAGAGTGGATGCCACTTGTTTAGGGGTGAAAGGCAGAGTAAGGAAAGGACACAGGACAGGGAACACCAGTATTTCAGGGACAGAGGAAGAAGTGGCTAGGAAGGAGGCTAAGCAAATAGAAAGGCTGAGGGAGAACCAGGAGCGCATCAGTTTCACACTCTGGGAAGGCAGTACTGAGATGCAGTTGTTGCAGAGGCTAAGAAGCTAAGGACTGAAAGGCGACTGCAGCAGGCAACCAGGGTGCTGGTGTCGATAAGAAACACTTTGATAAACAGTGGGTGATGAACAAAGTGACCTGAGGGGTGAAAAAAAGAGAAAAACGGAATGTAAACTACTTTCACTAACTTTGGAAATGGAAACAACTAGATCAGCAGCTTGAAGAGAAAGGTTTTTCAAAAGGTGGGGTGGGATCTTTTAACATGCTTATAGGCTGACACAAGGGAACCCAGGAGCGACTGAAGATGAAAGGAGAAAATACTATTCAAACAAAGAACAAAAAGAAGTCAAAGAAAATGAGGTTAAGAGAACGTGGCAGGATTGGCTTTGCAAAAGAAAAACACTACTTCTCTCCTAAGAAGAGAGGAGGTAAACTGGTATTGATGAATACATAGATATTTGTCAGAGATAACAGAGGAAAGTTTGAAGAAATTGATGCTTCCACTTTCTCTATGAAATAGGAAGTAAATCATCTGCCAAAAAAAATGGGGTAAGGATTGGGAAAAATGGTATGTTTCACTCACCAGTCTATGAAGTACTTGATAGCAGGGTCTGTCTTATTTCATTTTTTTGTGCTCAACCTAGCACATAGTAAGGGCTCAATAAATGTTTACTGACTGAATAGATGACAGAACTATTAAAGGTCCACTTAAGGCTGCAAAGCCCCAAAATAAACAACCTTCCCCAGAAAAAAAAAACCCTCCAGTAAAGTCAAGTATTAAAATGTTATATTGTTAATGGATACATAAGGAAATCAAATGACTGAGTGACTGACAAGGCCGACACAGGGAGTCAAATGAGCCAAAATAATCAAGAATGCTCGTAGCTATAGTACAATCAACCAAGGATTCCTGGATAGGTAGGAAGGGAAGAAAGCCATAGGCTGATGGGAAATTGGAAAGGCTGTCAGAGTAATTTCATTTTCAGAAAGGGCCACAATCCAGATTCAATCATTTTAGACAGAGGCTGTTATTAACTGAACGTAAAACATGCTGGAGCTAGATCTTGGTTTCTAAATACCATTCTTCAATTAAAAGAACAAAGGCTCTTAGAGACCTGGCTGTTACAAGGCTGGGGTAGGGAAAATACAGTATATGTATCAGAAAGTAAGAAAGTGCTCAAAAAAATAAAAGGATGTAGACATATCAAAGGAACACAGGAGCCAACTTGAAAGCTCTCCCAATGTCCAAAGCTGGGACAACCTGAGCAACAAAAATAGAGCTGGATTATAACCCAACCATAAAATAAATTTACATGAGTCACCACTAATGTAAATGAATGGAGAAGAGACACTTTCCTCACAGCAGCTTAATTTCCATCAACCCCATTAAGGGTGGGCTAGACTTACCAAATTCCAAAGAATAGGGAAAGAGCAACAGTGGAGGAACCTGGCAAACTACCTTAATCAGGTGCTGAAGGTTTTGTCATCAGTAATGTCATGTGGCTATCACAGACCCCTCGACAGGATGTGATGAGAGGGGGATTTTACCTGTGTGGTATTTTTTTCCCCCCAAAACCTGTAAGCTCAGTCTAATAATGAAAAAAAAATCAGACAAATTCAGATTGGGGGACATTCTACACGACCCCTGGCCAATACTTCCAAAGACTGATAAGGTCATGAAGGACAAGAAAAGACTAAAAATCTGTCACAGAGGAAACTAGGGAGACATATCAACTAAATGCAATGTGGGTATCCTGAAATAGACCCTGGAACAGAAAAAGGACATCAGTGGATGAAGCCCATAAAGCCCGGGGTTTAGCTAACATAATATACTAGTGTCAGTTTCTTAGTTTTGACAACATACCATAAAACTGTTAACAGAGAAAACTGGGGAAGGGGCATACGGAAACCCTCTGTACTATCTTTGCAATTTTCCTTTGAATTTAAACATATTTCAAAATAAAAACCTTATTTTAAAAAAAAAGGCTGGGGGGTGCCCCTGTTTCTCTGGGTCCTCCACATTTCTATGTAGTTGTGGCACATTAATCTGGTCATGAAACTGTTTACCTGGGAGTGAAGCATAGGACAACTGTGCTGATTAATATGTATGTAACATGTATGAGGCTGGAAACCTTTGTTGGGTTCAGTATATGAAGTTATAACCATATTCTCCCCATTCCCAACCCTCTCAACACACCAGAGACATGGCTTTTTATTAAAAAAAAAACTTTTTTTAATTGGTTTACAAAGGAGCTACAGACTACATTGAAACTAATCTTTGTACAAAAAGGAAGAAAAAAAAAAAAGCCCCAAACACCCAGAGACAAAAGGTAGGGGGAGAGGAAGAAAGGAAGATACAAAAGAGCAGGAAGAAACTAAGACAAGAGATTAGCATCATACATACACAAGATGGGGTGGGGGGGAGAGCAAGAAAGATGAGAGCATTTAAAAGTATTTCCCCACACAGCCCTGGTGATAATCGGATTGGAACCAATAACAAACACAGCTTGAAATTATTAAGAGGTTTAAAAAGGCAACAGTGGTATGGAGACTGGTTATTGCCAGTGTTAAAAGAGAAAAATAAACTTGTTTTAGGCACCAGAGACTGGAGCACTGCTCCTCTCTCCCAGAGGATGACAGACTTGGGAAGAGTAAGCAGGCCCTGGGGCAGCTGCCATTGGTGTGTGTAGAAGGGGTCTCCTCAGGTCAGTCTCAGCATATTTCCCCCATCTTTCCCCAAAGTCTTTGTGCCCCAGACTCCAGGTGAGAGCTAAGGGATGCCACTGGGAGAAAGGGGTGATCAGAAACATGAAGACTTGCCCTTGAGCACACTGTTCAAGAGCAGGTGCTGGGAAAGTGGGGGGCTGGCTAGAGAACCCATTTCTCTGTGGAGAAGGCACACTAATTCCTGAAAGGTGAGAGAGAGGAAAACACACATACCAGGAAAGGTATCAACAAGGTCCTCACCATCAGCAGCCTCAGCTTAAACCCATTTGTTATGCTTTTTCTCAGACACTGAAGGGAGCTGAGGGACAGATTACCACACCTCTTCTTGCTTAGCTGGGACAAGCCTGGGGTTGTTTGATAATGAGGAAAGGGGAAAATGGGACAAAATACTCATTTATCTCAAATGAATGTTGAGGAGGAAATCTTTTTGGGTTTGGGGAAGTCAAACTGGGGAAGACCTAGGAGGGGAATGAAGCCAGGGACTCCCATTTTTTCCCTTTCCCAGACTCCAATCTAAGGCAAGTGAGCTAAATCCGAAAGAGTAGGAATTTAAGCTTAAGGCTGCTTAATGTCCTCCTGAGGGCTGCTGTTTAGGGAAGGCAGACAAAGAAAAGAAACAGGTCAGCCTCAAAGCTGGTCTGCTCATCCTCCTCGGTGAGGTCTGTACCCCAGGAGTAGAGCCAAGGGAGGCATCAGAGAGAGCACAGGCTCCCAAACAAAAGTAATTATCTACCCATATTTTATCAGCAGTTTTCAAAAGCAATGTTTTCCGGGGTTGGAGGAGTGCCATATCCTCCTCCCTTTCCCCAAAGCTACTGCTGCCACCTTTCATCCTTGCACATAAGTTACTGGCTTTCTTCTAAGGGAGATGAAACTCAGATTTCACATTTCTCCTCCCAACTCCAAGAGGCTACCCAGCTTTGAATAGGGGGGAGGAAAGCTCTGCAAAGGGCCCCTCACTTGAGGCAGCTAGACTATCCTCATTTCCTTGGTACCTGGATCAGAACTCCTTTAATCTGATCCCAAGGTCCAAAAGGCATCAGGGTACTCACAATTGAATGAAAACTTTAAGCAAGTAGCACCAGGGCTCCCCCAAAGCATAACAGGGGCCTGATTAACACCCCTAGAAGAACCCCTCAAAAAGTATATAAATTTATTGCGTTCTAGCAAAGATCTGCAGCTTCCAGTATTCACACAATGTGAAGATATTAACAATACAAAATATATTCTGAAAGTCAAACATCTGCAGTTCATAGTGCTTTCTCAGATTTGTTAAAAAAAATACAATGCTTAGTTTCCTATATAGGATATACAAAAGCAAAAAATATATATATGTATATAGTAGAAATAAATCAATCAGCCATAGTAATTTACAGCTTTTGTCTCTAACCCTCCCCCAAACATAATCTTTACCCCACACTTCAGTCTATACTTCCTGGGATCAAGAGTTCTATTTATTCTGAACCAGGCTAAGAAATGTCCATTAAATTGCATTCTGCATAGCACCCACAAACAGGGTGCTAGCTGGGAGGTCCCTGAAGGAAGATGGTGTGGGCTGTTACTGCTCTGAGTAAAAAGCGAGACAGTCAAATGATAAGCAGTGAATGTGGATGGGCAACCTGAAAGGACAAAGGAATATTACCACTCCTCTGGGCATCCCGGACCCTGCAAGGTTTGGTCATTAAAAAATTAAATAAAAAAGCAACTCATGAAAAAAAATTTAGAATCAATATGCCTGTCAGTTACATTAACTTCTTCTGGCAAAAAGTCCAGGGAAAGGGATTTTCAGCAATAACCTCCTGACTCAAGGAATGTAGGCTCCTAACTTCCAGTGGAAAAGACTGAGTGGCTTACTGCTGCTGGGAGACCAAAGCAGAAGCTGCTTCACTTGTAGGGCCAAACAAGATACTGGATCTGGAGCTTCCTTAGTGAGAAGGAAACAGATCAAGTGGAAAGAACTGGATATAAATTCTCTCATACTGATAAATGGAGTTGAGGGTAAATCAGCATTCCATCCCAGAGAAAAACATCATCAAATAATCTTTTAAAAGCTTGTAGACCTCAGCATCATTAAGCTAGTTTATATCTAATAATTTCATACTGGGGATGATTTCATTCCTTGAAATGCTCTGGCTGAATACTGCACACTCCAGTGAGTTATCCTGCCCCTTTCCTCCAGAAGATGCCTATACATGATTACAGACATAAAATAACAGGTTCTGAGATCTGCCTCTCAGTGGGAATAAAGGGTGTGGTAAGTGACTGGGCATCAATGACTTTTACTTCAGTATTACTAGAATTTGATGTGGAGAAAGTTCCTTGCAAAAGTTCCTGAGTGTTAAAAATAGTACTGAGTCTGCAGAGAAAGGACCAAATGGAGTGAACTTTTGTTTAGAATATTAACAGTTATTGTATTACAGATTAAACAACACAAACTTACCCAAACCCTAATTTGGATAGATTTTATATAAAATATATAGTAGAATCATAGCATCATCTATTTGTAGTCAAGGTAAAAAGATTTATGAAAGGAACTAGATCTGGATGTTGGTTTCACTTTCAAACACAAAAATAAGTTTCTTCTTTTAAAAGTGCAGTAGAATATCCCCCGTTCATAATTGTAACTAATTTAGCACAAGCAAAGAAATGACCTCAGGAACATACCCAGGTTTTAAGATAGATTTCTAGGTAATGGGCCTGAAAGGCATTTTGATCTGAATTTGATTTATTTTCCAACAATTTCAAATATAATTTCTCATCTGTGTGTAGATATATACAGGCACAAACACACTCACACACAGTCATACACAAACACTTCACTTTCTATCAGATCAGGGTAATTTTTTATTGCAGGTCTCTTATAGTATTGGCTAACAGAAAACCTATCCCCAACCTAACAGATTACACACATACACACAGCCATTTCCACACTTCCTCACAGTGAAAAGCTCTCTGACAAGATACCAGAATGTCGAGAGAGACATGTTTTAATGGCTGGGCCTTGAGGACAACTCTGGCTGCATTTAAATCTCAGTGCCAAATGCACTAAGAGTTCCCTGCCGCTATAATTTTTGGATCAGTCTCTTCAGGAATCAGGCCATGGAGAAAGCAGGATGGTTTTTCCTGATCTCTCCTATAAACCACAGTGGTAAGACAAGATTTCCTTTTGTTCTGGGCTATCATCCTCATGATCGCGTGTGCTTCCTTTTCCCTTAGGAACCATCCGAGGAAGCGTTAAGGGAAAAGATCAAAGAACCACTGCCTTGCCACTAGTACATGCTCTGGAGTTCTGCAGACTGGAAACTCAGAACAGGCTCGTTGGATGATGCTTCTTAATAACATAATGGGAAAGAAACTATTGGGGATGTTCAAAAGAGGAATTGTATCTCCTTTCAGAATGTGAACTCAGAAGCCCACACATCGGAGCTTAGCGCTACCTTGGAAGACAGTTGTACAAAGGTCCAAATACTTCACTAACTCCTGAACTGGACTACCTGAGTCACTTCCGCTTTTGAGCACATCATTTTTCCTACTGAAAGCCCCTATCTATTATTTGACCATTCACGGTTTATACAAACTGATCCCAGATTATGACCTTCAAAGGGCCTCTTGTACAATTCCACAGAAAGACTTCTGATTCCTGATGCTCAGAGGAGCTAATGAAGAGAGGTGACTTGGACTCTCCAGCGCCAAGAGGGTGCCTGCGTCAGTAGTATTTTGAACACTCTCTTCACAGCTACCTCAGGCATCCGCCTGAGCTTCAAGGCTTCTCCATTCTGCTGCTGGGACTAAGGACTTAAAAGAATGACAGAAGTGCCTCATCCAGGGACCACTACCAAAAACAAAACATGAATGATCAGGTGAGAGAAGGGGAGACAGAAACGGTTGAGTCAGGAAAGGAGCACAAGAAGCTGATCCCAAATTAAAAGACAATATTAAGAAAGGAAAACATTATGTATGTATATATAAACTAAAAGCAGAGCATATAAATGCTTAATCTGGTGGGAAGCCAAGACAACATCTATAGAAAATCTTGATGTGTCACAACAAGGCTCAGCCATAAGGAAATAAGGCAATATAAAAAAAAAAATGACCAAGGTATTTTGGTCACAGAATGGTCTCCTTCCTCCTCCCAGCCAACCCCTGCAAATGCATATCTATATATCTTTTATATATATATATATAATATAGAATCTGTTTTTTGTTAAAAAGTATTTCAATGATCATATATATTTATCAAGGCATAATGGCTTTAGGAAATGGGGGGGATCCATCATGGGGGAGCTGATAAGGGAAAATGCAGGAAGGGGAGGCTGGGGTAAGAAGTGTTAAGAAACTGGGGTCAAACAAATGCTTGTCAAAGGGTGGCACCAACAGAATTTTCACTAATGTTTCCCACTTCAAAGAGGTACTGATGATACAGGGGGGTGCCAGGACCCCATCTCTTCTCTGGTATCCCTCCCCCAATTCTTCCCACTGCCATGCATTTTTAATGCCTCATGGCTCTCTCTCCCACATGTCTTTTGGACCCACGCTACCTTGCATCCCAGGGTTGATGAGTATGGCCCATATGTCTCTACCCCGGGGTGCCTGATTTCAGAAGCCATTGCCACTGATATTAATGGACTGCAGATCCGCCACCTGCATGACGTTGATGCCACTGTTGGCAAGACGGGCAATACCCTCTGGACAGATGGCCTCCATGGCTACCATGTTGGTGGTAATAAGGGCCGAAGGGGTGGCAGTGCCGCTGCCTTCTGAGCCTGCCCCACTGTCCAGGGGCAAAGTGCCCACACTTAGGGCTACACTTGGGCCTCCCTTCTTATTCTGGTGGGTCTTAATATGCTTTGACAGGTGGTCACTCCTCATGAAGCGCTTGGGACACTCAGGGCAGGCAAATTTCTTCTCACCTAGGTAAAGGAAGAGAAGGAAAATAAGAAACTGACATCTCAGGAAGTAGGGGTCCCTTATCCAATTCATTACTTTCAAACTACATAAGGCAGATAAGGCTAGTCTTAGAAAGTGAATAAAAACAAGAAAAGTCTAATGAGTACCTTTGGTTTCTGGAGGGACAAAAAATAGGGAAACGTTGGGGAATATTCAGAAAGGAAGGAATATAGCAGAAAAAGTAAGGCAAGACCTTAAAAATCCCACTCAGAAGCTGGCTCCTTCCTTCTTTAAGGTTTTCCAGATTAACTCCAATTCCATTTGTGACCCATACATTCAGTATCAAATGCAAGTTGCTCGGAAATTTAAGTTATTTCTTAAGTATATTTTGTGTCTTCCCATTCTGGTCTATTACTACCCCTCTCTTCCCCAACTTTCAACTTACCTGTGTGTGTGCGTTTGTGCCTCTGTAACTCATCCGAACGAGTGAAGCGTTTCCCACAGTATGACCAGGTACACATGAACGGCCTCTCGCCTGTATGCCAGCGCAAGTGTGCCCGCAGGTGTGAGGTCTTGCCATATACTTTGCCACAACCTTGCATGTGGCAAATGTGCTGTTTCTTTTTGCCAGGATCCCCAGAGCCCCTGAAAGTGAGAACACAACTATTCATCATTCATTCTAGAGACAAAAAGTAAAGAATCACAGTATCCATAGTAATTACTGGACCCACTCAAAACTAACCAAACTTTTGTTTTTAAAAGAGCCTTCTCTTTAGTATCAAAAGTATCAAAATCTTTAGTCAATCTGATGTTTGATATATGCAGAGATATTCATTCTCACGGTGACCTGTGAAATCTGTAAGGCATTTTCTTGTATTCTTCTGGGAGTTTAAGATTCAATACAAGCATTTTCCATTCACTACTGTGAAGGTGGTGATATGGTGAGTTTTTGGCTGGGAACTTACTTAATGAATAAAGGGTCTCTCCATTTAAGCATTTGGTGAAAAACTTTAAAGAAAACATGTTTTACAACTACAGAACTTTTCTCCTTGAATAAAGGTCAAGAGCCAAACAGTGAAGATTAAAAGCTGAAAAGATAGAGCAACTATCAGACTTCAGTGTTAGAGAAAGATGGGTTGGATAAAAGTTAAAAGAGAAATAAGGATGCTAACTATAATTCAAGATATGTAAGAAAATATTCCCTGTATGAAACAAATCCTAAATATTTTTCCCAAACCAATTTGTACCATGTGTGACCCATCAGTGGGCCCTGGGGAGATTCCCAAGAGGGATTATTCTTGGGTTTTAACAGCCCATATTAGCAGACGGGAAAAAAAACAACAGAAATGAAATCACACTTAGGTGAAAATCAGACAATTTCCTTCAAAAATTTAAATCCACTTTAAGCTTTGTTAGAGGGAAACTCTATTGTACTCAGTGCTTTTAATTTAGGTTTTTCCTGCAAAGTAGGGTAACCTACAAAGATTTCAAATTATTTTGCTTTGGTACTTTTCTTGTTTTTGTGCTTATTTTTAATGAGACAAAATTTTAACAGATTTTTTCAAAGGCATTTAAAAAACTATGGGACTTTCTATCCTCTGTCAAGAGCAGTGACTTGAAGGAAAAGAATGTAACTTGGAACTCTCCAGAGATAAGACTGAATAGCTGGTATCCCAAGGAGAAGATCTGTCAGAACTCTGTTCCGTAGAACATATTACATTCCCTAATAGAAGCATTTTCCACCTGGAATAAGCACTTTTATCTATTTTGAGGGAAAATAAGATTCTGGAAAACTCATGATTTTCATACAGCCACTGTAAAAAAAATCACTACAGTAGACATGTTTCTTTTTCTTTACAAGGCTGTTTTACAAGCTACCTTATTAAAACCATCTCAAAACAGACATATGGTAACAATTATTTGACCTGTTGGCTCCATCTGACTTCTTAATCTCTAGGAGAAAGCAGGCACCTACGAAGGCCCAAGGTCTTAAGAGTTGATGAAAAGGATCAGAGCTGGAACCAACACCTTATATAACCTAATCAAATATATTGTACTATCTCTGATCCCTCTGCAACACCGCCAAGTCTTAAAAGTTAAAAAAAAAACCTTTTCTTTTTACCTCTAGATCTATTAATTTTTCTTCTTTATACTCTTAAGAAATTGGCTGGGTCAACTTACCTTCCTTCACTGTCTTTACAGTAGGGGCATGTGCATGCTTCCCGCCGGGTCCTCCGACCAGCTTGGGGTTGGGGATCTGGGCTGTTCTCTCCTTCCTCTCCGCCTGCTGGATCATCATGTATTCCATCACCACCAGCCCCATGGAGACCAAGCTGAGCTCCATGATCACCTGAAATTAAGAGAGTAAAGGGGTCAAGGTGGGGAGTAGGGGAGGTCATCACAGCCCCAAGTATCTCAGTGACAACTTACTCCTACAATACCATTTCTTCAAGCTTTGAAACCACATTCAGTGATACTGTCCATACTTGAAATCTCAAGAACTGGCACTGAAGAGACAAAGAGCCAGTAAGTATATGAAAACATGTTCATTCTCACTCAATTTTTATTTATTTTGGTTTTTTTTGGGGGGGGTAATTAGGTTGGTTGGTTTGTTTCTTTCTTTCTTTATTTTTAGAGGAGGTACTGGGGATTGAACCCAGGACCTCATGCATGCTAAGCATGCGCTCTACTACTTGAGCTATACCCTCTCCCCCATTCTCACTCAATTTTTAAAACGCAACTCTACTTATTTATAATGGACTTTTTATAATTTTTCACCTACCAGATTACAAAAAGTTAAAACTCTAATCGAGCATTGGCAAGGATATGGGGAAATAGACAATTTTTATACACAGGTGGTGATAAATTAGTATAACCTATTTGAAAGCCAATTTGGCAATGTTACTAAAAATTTAAATGCACATTTTCAAAGTAATTTCATTAATCAGCAATGTTCTATGGATATATTCCTGAGTACACAAAGATGTGTGACAATGATGTTTCCTGCAGCTTTAAAACAAAAAAAAAAACTTGAAAAAAAATCAAAATGTACACCACTGAGGAACTAGTTAAGTAAATTATGATAAAATTATGCAATGGAATACTACACATACTTTAGAAGAATGAGATAAAATCATGTACTGTTATAGAAAGATATACAACAAATCTCTTATTCTTTCCCAGAGCTAAAGTGCTAGGAACCAACCAAATTGAAATGACTAAAAATAACTTTCAGAGATTCCAAACTCAAAACCATATAAAATCTAAAAGGGGAAACTTCCTTAAATAAATAAAAAATTGCACTGAATATACAGCAGGAATGTATACTATAAATTTTGACACAAAGAGAAAAGGAAAGAAATGAGGTCAAAGTTAATTCTGTATAGCTAGCAATACACCGCAGGAAGGTTTTGGTTTGGGACTGGATGCTTTTCAGAATGCTAGAAAAAGGAAGAAAATACCATGTACATTCTATTAAGTTACTTGAATGTCATTTGCTTGTAAAGATAAATTTATATGAACTCATTATAATTTCTGTCCTGGTTAAATTAAAAACGGTAAATGCCACAAAGCTCTAGGACAGTGTTTTTTAAACTTTTTAAGCTTGCAACCCACAGTAAAAAATATACTTGACATTGTGACCTAGTACATACACACACAACTGAAACAAAAGTTTCACAAAAAATGCTTATGATAAGTTATGTATTCTGAAATTTCCTACACTTTAAGTTTTTTTCCTTTCTACTGGTCACGACCCAGTATATTGATTTTATAAATTAGTAATGAGTCACACTTGACATTTTTAAGCACTGGTCTAGGACAATAGACAAAAGCAACATTTTAAAGGAATAGATGACATTCTTCTCAAGCTTTCACATCTACTATCAGTAAGTATTCACCTAAGAAAGCATCTTGTAAGTAAGCTAATGACTCTACCCATATTTATGATTCCAATAAATGAAGAATGTTGAATTGGTCTGCTTTGTTTTATCTATTTTATAAAGAACGAAACTAAACAAATGGGTAGGTCAGACTTATTACCTAGAAACCTAGGCTCTTGACTTCACCTCTGTAGCTAATCTCTACTCTTCTTAGTTCATCAACATAATTGTGAGTTACTATATCCAATAAGCCGCTCTTCTTGTGCTTTCTTTCTCACTCTACCATTTCTAAGCACCAGCCTATGGTATTAACATAAATTTAATTTGAATAGTTTGAGATTTTCATGATATTGGCAGAACTAAAACTGGGAAGTACTGGAGTACAGGGTTAAGAACAGGTTTTTAAGTAAGACAGACCTAGATATTTGTCCCTGCAACTATGATTTGATTAGCTTTCTGGCAGTGATCTTCTCTAGTTATCAATTTCACCATCAATAAAATTGGGATGAAATATTATCAATCTCATAAAGTTACTGTAAAAACAAATGAAATAATACATGTAAGGTGCTTAGCATAGTATCTGTCACAGAGCAAACATTCAACACACTGTAGCTAATACTATTAGGAAAATATCTTGTGGGAAAACCATAGTGCCAAATCATGGAATAAGATATACACAGTATTTTTTTCACAATATTTTGTTTAATCATTCTGCCTTAAAAATCGTATGTGTTACTGAGTAGAAACTCCATCTAGTGGAGATGGAGAATTTATCCTTTAAAATACGCCCAAATAGCAGACAAGGTAGGATGCTAGTTAGTATTGTCAGTGGTTACCTACTAAAATTACCTTCAGAAGAGAAATTTATGAAAACTATAGATCCAACTACCTCTAATAGGTCTTTAGAAAGAAGACAATACTGTGGTACATACAAGCAAATCATCTTCTTTGATCTATTTTCCAAGCTAATCTAACTCTATTAAAATTAAAGAAGTTAATTAATCCCCAAAGTTCTCCCTTGTCCCAGTCAACTAGAAAGAGGCAAATCTTTCTCCATTTTATTGAAACATAAGAATAACATTCACGATAGGCATCATTCAGTAAATTGGGACACAAAGAAATACTTAAATATCAAGTCTACCAAAACTGAATCTCAAACCCTCTTTTAAATTCTTACAGAATGGACAGTCAACATTAATATCCTCCTGGACCCCTACAATGCTTTCAAATTTTTTTCTTAAATATGAAAACTGAGAATGGGATTAGAGAAAATGAACAATTCTCAATTTCATTTAACAAAAAGGAGGGATAAAACGTCAAAAAAGCATCAACATCAGACTAGAATCCGTTTCCAGCCTGTTTTAATAACAGTTTTAGAAAAAGAACAGTTTTATCTTAAAATGTGGCACTGGTTAAGCAATGAAATAAATTAAAGATTTTCCTTACCATGATGAAAATAACTATAAACCAAAGGCACAGTTTAATGACAGTCTTGCCCAAGCCAGTGGTTGCCTCCAGCAATAGTTTCTGAAATAGCCATGGCAGTTAACACACTTTTTTAGTTTCCTCAAAGTGAAGAAGTGTGCTGAAGTCATGAACTTTCAAGACCACCACATGGTAAGTCAAACACCCTATTCTTCTCTGAGAAAAAACTTGGGTAGTACTAAAATAAGATGAAATAACCTCCTCAATAATTTTCAAAAGAGTGGTTTCCATACACTTCCTTATTCATCTGCTTTCTGAAATGATTCTGGAAACATTGTGTTAACATTAATTAAGTATTAATACAGTAAGACTGAATTTTAAAACTGTATCTATATATATTAAGCACACACTGGGTTTTCTGAATGTGTTTCATTTTACACAACAGATTTAATTCAAGGAAGTATATCTCAGATCACAAAGTGTGTTTTCAGCCATGCGGAACTGGAGTACTGGTAACATCACTTACGCATGAGGAACAGAGTATCTAGAATATGGCCCCAAATCAAGAAATAAAAACATCTCTATTAACAGAAATAGATAATTAATAATACATAGTATTTTATATTTTTAAGTAATAATAATATTCTTGTTTTAGTTTCCCAGTCCAAACAAACTGAATTAGCAGGGAGGGTTTAGCTCAAGTGGTAGAGCGCATGCTTAGCATGCATGATATGAGGTCCTGGGTTCAATCCCCAGTACCTCCTCTAAGAATAAACAAACACTAAATAAATCTAATTACCTCCCCCCACCAAAAATAAAAAAATAAACTTCAAACAAAGTGAATTAGAGGCAGCAACTTAAAGAAAAAGGAAAGGAAGAATCGTACTTTTAATGGCATAGTAACTGACAACTGGGAGTGATATATACATAAATGGCCCACAAATCTATCCCTATATTGATCATCTGTGCTCTTGAGGTACAGTTTAATGTAGGAGAGACAGGATAAATGCTTGATTCTGTCAATTACTAGTTTTTAAAATAATGAGTTGGTTTCCTAGACTTCTTAAAAAATTACCAATGAATTTTTCTTTTATTAAAAATGAAGTTTTTTGAGATATAATTTACATAAAATAAAAATTTTACCCTTTTACAATGTAATTTGGTGCAGTCACTATGGAAAACTAGTTAAAAAACTAAAAACAGACTTACCATATGACCCAGCAATCCCATTCCTGGGCATATATCCAGAGAAAACTCCAATTCAAAAAAGATACACGCACCCCAATGTTCACAGCAGCACTACTTATAATAGCCAAGAAATGGAAGCAACCTAAATGTTCATCGACAGATGACTGGATAAAGAAGTTGTGGTGTATTTATACAGTGGAATATTGCTAAGCCATAAAAAGAATGAAATAATGCCATTTGCAGTGACATGGATGGACCTAGAGATTATCATACTAAGTGAAATAAGTCAGACAGAGAAAGACAAGTATCATATAATATCACTTATATGTGGAATCTTGGAAAAAAAAAAGACACAAATGAACTTATTTACAAACCAGAGACAGACTTACAGACATAGAAAGGGGAAGAGTGAGTATAAATTAGGAGTCTGGGGTTAGCAGATACAAACTACTACATATAGAATAGATAAAACAACAAGGTCCTACTCTAAAGCACAGGGAACTATATTCAATAGTTTGTAATAACCTATAATGAAAAAGAATGAAGAAAAAATATATATACATATATATATATATTTAAACTGAATCACTATGTTGTATACCAGAAACTAACATACCATTGTAAATCAACTATACGTCAATTAAAAAAAAGAAATTCACCCTTTCAGTAAATTTAGACCAAGGTTCTCAAACTGGAGCCTTTATACTGCCCAGGAGACATCTGACACTATATGGAGACATTTTTGATGGTCATGTCTGGCATCTAGTGCTGCTAAATATTCTATAATGCATAGGACAGCTCACTCCTCCCCAAAACAAAGAATTACCTGGTTCAAAATGTCAATGGTGTCAAGGTT